ATTCCCTCCCCAGCATCCTTGTAGGCCCCCTTCAGACACTGGAAGGCTGCTATGAGGTCTCCACGCACACTTCTCTTCTCCAGGCAGGATCGCCTCCTTTGACCTGCTGGTCGCATTTCTTTTAATGCAGCCCAGGATACGCTTGGCATTCTGGGCTGCAAGCACACACTGACAGTTTCTCATCAACCAACACCCCCAAGTCCTTCTCCTCAGGTCTTCTCTGAATCTCTTCTCCATCCAACCTGTAGCTGTGCCTGGGATTGCCCCCATGCAGATGTAGGACTTGGCTTGGTTGAACTTCATGAGGTTAGCATTGGCCCACCTCACAAGCATGTCGAGGTCCCTCTGGATGGCATCCCTTCCCCTCCAGCATATGAAGCGAACCACACAGCTTGGTGTTGTTGGCAAACTTGCTGAGGGCGGACTCAATCCCACTGTTCATGTTGCCAACAAAGATGTTGAGCAAGATCGGTCCCAACACCAACCCCTGAGGGACACCGCTCATTACTGCTATCCTAGACCTACTGGTCTTTCTAGTCGGGATGCAGCGCTCCTGAGCTTGTAAGTGTGGAAAAGAATGCTTGAGTTTAGTGATAGCATTAACACAAGCTGGATTTGATGCTCTCTTCAGGGGCTTGTTTCTGGCTGAACTTGTCTTAGAATCATAGAATGGTTAGGGTTGGAAAGGACCTTAAGATCATCTGGTTCCAAACCCCCTGACATGACCAGGTACACCTCATACTAATTCATCTCACCCAAGGCTCTGTCCAACCTGGCCTTGAACACTGCCAGGGATGGAGCATTCGCAACCTCCCTGGGCAACCCATTCCTGTGCCTCACCACCATTACAGGAAGAATTTCTTCCTTATATCCAATCTAAACCTCCCCTGTTTAAGTTTTAACCCGTTACCCCTTGTCCTATCACTACAGTCCCTAATGAAGACTCCCTCCCATTCCAGCATCCTTGTAGGCCCCCCTCAGATACTGGAAGGCTGCTATGAGGTCTCCACGCAGCCTTCTCTTCTCCAGGATAAACAGCCCCAACTTTCTCAGCCTGCCTTCATACAGGAGCTGCTCCAGTCCCCTGATCATCCTCATGGCCCTCCTCTGGACTTGTTCCAACAGACCCATGTCCTTTTTCTGTTGAGGACACCAGAACTGCACACAATACTCCAAGTGAGGTCTCACAAGAGCAGAATAAAGGGGCAGGATCACCTCCTCCGACCTGCTGATCACGCTCCTTTTGATGCAACCCAGGATACGGTTGGCTTTCTGGGCTGCGAGCGCACACTGCTGGCTCATGTTCATTTTCTCATCGACCAGCACCCCCAAGTCCTTCTCTGCAGGGCTGCTCGGAATCTCTTCTCTGCCCAGCCTGTAGTTGTGTCTGGGATTGCTCCGACGCAGGTGTAGGACCTTGCACTTGGCATGGTTAAACTTCATGAGGTTGGCATGAGCCCACCTCACAAGCGTGTCAAGGTCCCTCTGGATGGCATTCCTTCCCTCCAGCATATCAACCGAACCACACAGCTTGGTGTCATCGGCAAACTTGCTGAGGGCGCGCTCAATCCCACTGTCCATGTCAGCAACGAAGATGTTAAACAAGACCGGTCCCAACACTGATCCCTGAGGGACACCACTCCTAACTGGTCTCCAGCCGGACATTGAGCCATTGACCACAACTCTTTGTGTGCGGCCATCCAGCCAGTTCTTTATCCACTGAGTGGTTCATTCATCAAATTGATGTCTCTCCAATTTAGAGACAAGAATGTCGTGTGGGACAGTGTCGAACGCTTTACACAATTCCAGGTAGATGACATCAACTGCTTTACCGCTGTCCATCAGTTCTGTAGCCCCATCATAGAAGGCCACCAAATTGGTCAGGCAGGATTTCCCCTTGGTGAAGCCATGCTGGCTGTCACCAAGCACCTTGTTGTTTTTCATGTGCCTTAGCATCCCTTCCAGGAGAATCTGCTTGAAGATTTTGCCAGGCACAGAGGTGAGACTGGTCTGAAATTCCCCGGGTCATCCATTTTCCCCTTCTTGAAAATGGGGGTTATATTTCCCATTTTGCAGTCATTGGGAACTTCACCTGACTGCCATGATTTTTCAAATATGATAGCCAGCGGCTTAGCAACTTCATTCGCCAGCTCCTTCAGGACCCACGGATGGATTTCATCATGACCCATGGACTTGTGCACGCTCAGATTTTTAAGATGGTCTCAAACCAATTCCTCTCCTACAGTGGGCCCAAGGTCTCCATTCTCACAGTCCCTGCGTCTGCCTTCCAAGACGTGGGTGGTACGGTCAGAGCCTTTGCTAGAGAAGACCGAGGCAAAGAAGTCATTCAGAACCTCATTCTTCTCCAAATCCTGTGTAGCTAGTTCACCCGAGAGCTTCCTGAGGGGGCCTACGTTCTCCCTAATCTGTTTTTTATTTGCTATGTACCTGTATGTCGTGGTTTAACCCACAGCCAGACAGCTTGTTACCCACTCCCCCCCTTCTTGCCCTCCCCCTACTCCTGGGGGAATGGAGAGGGGAATCAAAAAGAAATGCAACTCCCACGGGTTGAGATAAGAACAGTTTAGTAACTAAGGTATAACACAAATCACTACTGCTACCACCAATAATAGTGATGATAAAGGAAATAACAAGGGAAGAGAATACAACACCCCATCACCAGGTGACTGATAACTTGCCCCCCCCAGCCCAATCAAGCACCAACCCATACCTCCTCCAACCCTGCAGTCCACCTGCCCTTCCGGCTAACTCCCCGTTACATCCTGGGCATGACGTGCTGTGGTATGGAATACTTCTTTGGTCAGTTTGGGTCAGGTGTCCTGTCTCTGCTTCCTCCCAGCTTCCTTCCTCCCTGGCAGAGCATGAGGCCCACAAAGTCCTTGGCCAAACCAAAACATCATTGTTTTTCAGCTCTGTTCCCACCTGAAAGTCAAAACACAGCCCTGCACCAGCTACCAAGAAAGAGAAAAATGACTGCCACTGCTAAACCCAGGACACTGTAGAATCCCTTCCTGTTATCCTTAATATCCGTAGCCAAGTTTTAATTCTAACTGGGCCTTAGCTTTTCTAACCTGGTCTCTAGCTTCCCGGACAATAACCCTGTACTCTTCCCAGGCCGCCTGTCCTTGCTTCCACTTTCTATAAAGCTCTTTTTTCGTTTGAATTTTCCTCAGGAGCTCCTTATCCATCCAAGGAGGTCTCCTGGCCCTCCTGCTGCACTTCCTTCTGGTTGGGATGCAACACTCCTGAGCTTGTAGCAGGTGATCCTTGAAGACCAACCAAGAGTCTTGAGCCCCCCTGCCCTCTAGGGCTATATCCCATGGAACCTTACTAAGCAGGTTCCTGAAGAGGCCAAAGTCTGCTTTTTTGAAGTCTAGGGCAGTGAGCTTGCTGCACGCTCTTCTCACTGTCCTAAGGATCTCAAATTCAACCATCTCGTGGTCGCTGCATCCAAGGCTGCCCTGCAGTGCCACATTTCCAACGAGCCCTTCCCTGTTGGTGAGCACAAGGTCAAGCATGGCACCTCTCCTTGTCGGTTCCTCTATTACTTGCAGAAGGAAGTTGTCTTCCACACAATCAAGGAACCACCTGGATTGCTTGTGCCGGGCCGTACCGTCATTCCAACAGATGTCGGTGTGGTTTAAGTCACCCATGAGAACAAGGGCCTGCAAGCATGAGGCTGTTCCTATCTGTCTACAGAGCGCTTCATCCACAGTTTCCTCTTGACCAGGTGATCTGTAACATATCCCAACATTAATGTCTCCCATGGCTGTTTTCCCTTTAAGCCTAACCCACAGGTTCTCTGTTATCTGCTCACCTGTCCCCAGACAGAGTTCCATACACTCCAGCCTATCCCTAACATAAAGGGCAACTCCCTCTCCACGCCTGCCAGGCCTGTCTTTTCTAAAGAGTCTGTAACCTTCCATTCCAACACTCCAGTCATAGGAGCCATCCCACCATATTTCTGTGATTCCTATAATGTCATACCCCCATAGACAAGCACACATCTCTAATTCCTCTTAGAGGTTTCCTGGTTAAATAAAAGAATGATTAAAGCAGTAATTCTTATGCTTTTGTACTTGATCAGAGGTGATGGTAGCAGGAACAGTACTGATGATATTTTCTTTGCTCATGGTTATGTAGTTTAAATGAAAGTTCTGGTTGTTGCTTTGATAATTTTCCCGATGCTGATGCTTCTGTCCATTTATTGCTCTTGCTTGTCTGTGCCTCCTCTTTCCTATGGAAGGGATCAGGTTTTTGCATCTGTAGTGTTGTTTCCTGTAGTTTTCCTGTTGCTGCACACTGTGGACTGCGTACTGTGCTCCAGTGTTTGCCAAATAAATTCTCCCACAAGTTGCAGGAAGAAGTGTTTTGCACCTACACTGGAAGCTTATTGATACTTATGTTGCCATTATTTCAATTATGTTTGTTTTAAAATAAAACTGCTCTATTAGGGGAAGGGATTGGGGTTGTTTTGCTCTGTGGAGAGAGTTAACAGGTTGGAAAGGGACCTCCAGAAGCATAGCTCAGGTCTTGAATTTGAGTATGTTGAAAGTAGGATTGTGGATGTCAGAGCAGGTGTTGTGGTTCTGTTTCCTTCAGGCTATGTATGAATTTGTACATGAAACTGGGAGGTCCCATGGGAGGATTGAGTAACTTTCATTGGGAACATAGGAGGAAGCTCTTCCAGTATTTGGAATTAATCACTGGTTGCAGACATATGTTCATGTGAATTACATCTGGTACCATAGTGGCTAAGAAATTCCTGAAATCAGAAATTAAAGGGGGGTGTTTGAACTTCCCAAAATTTCAAATCTGCAGACCAGTTTTCTAGAGCTTCCCATATTTCCAACCACCATGTCCTTGCTTTGTCTTCCACTAATAATGAAAACAGGATCACTTATAAAGCAGAACAGTTGAAATATGACACTGTGCTTTTAGCATGTAACTGTTTTCTTTCCTTACCCAAATTACAATAGGAGCATGGAAAAACTCGAGGGAAGAATGGACAGCAGAAGACTGGAATGAAGATGTAAGTGTACCTTGTTGGATAGGCCAATTGATTATTTACCCTTTTCAGAGTTTCTGTATTGTCTTCAAGAACTAAATGTTTGAAGTAATACTTTGTTTTATGCATGTGATATTTCTTATTGTGTTTCTTGCTGTAATTCCTGTTTAAAATACATATATTTAGATAAACTTATTTTTAAAATAAAATTTAATCAAGAAATATAAATTTATTTTGCTGGGTAGACAATACATAAGATTTATCCCAAATTAAGTATTTGTGAATTATAGTTTTCCATTGCTCAGTGCTGCTGGGTGTTAACCACATAGTTTCCCCTGCTATTGTGTAGGGATTTAAAGACATAGTCTCACAAGACTTCTATGTAATTAAAGTGCTGAAGTTTACTATCAACTTTAGACTCCTCATCTGATGCCTTTTGTTTGAAATCCACATAATTGTTCCACTTAGTCCACTTCATGTGAATATTAAAAAAAGGATCTAGTAGTATGTTGACGTTAGCACTTAATTGCATCATTCCTGTTGTTTCATCATGATGTGTTGTCTAAAGTACAACAATTTTGGTTCTCATTCTTTATCAAGGAAGAGATGTCTTCATGTCTGAAAAATATTTGGCATTTGTGATTACATGTGAAAATAGCATTTGTGATTTTAAGTTTTCAGTTATTGTATTAAAGCTTAAGCAGTTCAGAAAATAAACTAGGTAGCAAGATATATGGAAAGGAAAACTTAGCTTTTAAGAAGCTTTTCATCTTTTATAGGAACATCCATTATTTCAAGTTTGTTTACAGTAGAGTAAGAGATTGTCTTGTAAGTCATCCCTTTTGCCCCCTCCTATAGGGTGGCATGTCAGTGTTATCCCTAGAAATGTGTGAATGTGTCATATAACATATATGAAAACTCTGTGCTTACTAATGAGAGAGATGTCTTTTGAGAAAAAAGAAACTCTAAAATTCCAAGGTTTTCTGTGTCAGTTACTGCCATCAAAAGCTGGCATCTGTTGTTTTTTTAAACCTGTCCTCTGTTTCTGCAGTATATGCTAGAGGTCGATGAAGGGATAATGAAAATTTATATCCATGTTCTCACCTTGTTTAATGCTGGTACAACACAGCATTCATAGTATGGGAAGGGTGTTGAGCAATGCTGACTGGGGATAGAAATTTAGAATTTTTTTAAAATTAATTATTAACCTTAGAAATTTGCACATGAATCTTGAAAGAGCAGCAGATGATATCTCTAGCTTGTTGTTATTTTTTATTAATTTTAGAGTGGGTTTTCCTCTTAAAGTTGTGATCATATTCTTCTGGCTAAAGAAAATAAAGTTTAACTACAGAAACTATCAGAAGGGGAGAAATAGAATACATACACATTGCTGGAAAGTGGATGAAGGCAAACATTTTCTGTACAATATTGATAGTCTTAGTTTTAATTTGAAACAACAACAACACTTTAGAAAAAAAGAAAAAAACTTATTTTAGTAGGTGTGTTTGCTTTACCAGGAAGCAGCATGAGAACTTGATTTAATTTCTTTAACTTGAGTACTTCGTATCAAAATGGTAATAAAGTTTTGTTATTTATGATTTGTTGATGTTCAGTTTTCATGAGGATGGTGGAGTATATTTTCCTGTTGTCCTTCCTTGCCTATCAAATGGCCACAGGAGCTGGTGGCTAGTTCTTAAATATATTGTCTGTTTGGTGATTGAAGAATGATTTTTATCATAGAAACAGGAGCTGAAAAGCACAGGTATTTAACTACATATGGAGGAAATGCCCTTGTGAGTCCGATGTTTACAAATGGTTCACCAATGTTCATTCAGGTCTGAAAAAATGTGAGGGCCTCAGTGAAAAATTTGTGAGTGTAGTGCATGGTGAGCATAAATAACATTGCTAGGAACCAATAATACTATTTCCAAAGAATACTAAATACCTCTGTGTAATAAAACTTTTAAGCTTCTTCCGTGTGAAGTATGTTTTTTGACAAATGCCATAGTCCCAGCAGACATCTGCATTAGGTGCTTGATAGGAGCTTGTGGCAGTGAGTTTGCCACAGGGTGTAGTGTAAACTTCAGTGTAGTCGAGCTGGTACATGGAGACGTGTTTTGCATGCTGGCTCATTTGAAGAGTACATTTCCTGTCTGATACATCAAGCATGTTTTTGCATTGTCACAAACATCCTCAGGCTCCTTGATTTGCTTAGCTTTCAGGATTCAGCAGTGTTTTGGCAACAGTGAGTCTTACCCTGTGTTATGTGAGCATAAGGAACTGTTGACATTACAAAGAATTTAATATTTAACCAAGGGATTGCAGACAATAGGCTGCTACTCATGCCATTAGCTGAATTCCTTGTGCCATATAATGCAGGAGTCTCATAGCACTACAAAAAGTACGGTACATGTTGTTACAAAATAACACATACAGTGGGGAAAGGAATGAACAAGAGAAACAGGCTTTTTAATTGCAAACATGCCTGAGATGAATCTTCTTTCTTCATTTTGGTCAGTACATAGAGTTGTGGGCTGGCAGCATTATGTGCAGGACAGTTGTGTTCAAGAAAGATGGGATTAAAATACACTGTATTGGAAGCAGGAAAAGTAAATGGAAGGAGAACTGTGGTTGTATTCATTTTTTCATGACAGTATGTGGCACATAAGTGGGTGCTAGGAGAATACATGGAACACTTGAACTTTGCCTCTGAGTAGTAAGTGATTTGCTCCTAGTCTGCTCTTCTGCATCCTGCTTAAATCAACAGTGTTTCACAGGAGAATCCCAATCAGATGACCATGTTCAGGGATATATGTGCTTTGAGTAGAGCTGCCCATGGGTTGGCAGATGAAATTGGCTCATGTCACAGTATCACAGTATCACAGTATGTTAGAGATTGGAAGGGACCTCAAAAGATCATCTAGTCCAATCCCCCTGCCGGAGCAGGAACACCTAGATAAGGTTACACAGGAACGTGTCCAGGCGGGTTTTGAATGTCTCCAGAGAAGGAGACTCCACAACCTCCCTGGGCAGCCTGTTCCAATGTTTCGTCACCCTCACTGAGAAGAAGTTTCTTCTCAGGTTTAAGTGGAACCTCTTGTGTTCCAATTTGTACCCATTACCCCTTGTCCTTTCATTGTTTGACACTGAGAAGAGCCTGGCTCCATCCTCGTGACACTCCCCCTTTATATATTTATATACACTAATAAGGTCCTTGATGTTCTTTAAACTGGGCTGCCAGCAATGTGATTAAAAATGCATAATTTCCTGGAAGAGTTGTATTCAAATGTCACATTCTGAAAGGATTCTTTGTGAGTGTTTGAATAAGTCAGTTATACTTCAGTCTAAATACAAAGCTACACCGAAGTAGTTAAAGGTGATTTTTGAGCAAATTTGATTTAAAATATAGCCATTATACATGCATATCTTTATCTGGTTAAACCTAACCTGCACTGCTTTAAGATCTAGTGTTGCTTGCAAGTATTTCTGTTAATAGAAATTAATTAGCCCTATGAAGTTATAGCTGTTTAACAGCTATTTTTTTAAAGAAAAGCTATTAAAAAACATAAACAAATGCCTCCCCACCCCCCCCAAAAAAAACCACAAAACCCAACCAACAAACGGCAAACAAACAACACCCCTACAAACCAAAGTCACCTCCTTTTCTCCAGAAAGCCCCAACCAACCAGCTCCCCCTCCCTAGGTATCTGTGAAATTATCTGTCTTTATTGCAACAGCATGGTGAGAGCAGTTCAACTTTCTGCTGTGGATGGTCTGACTGATTATACCAGTATAAGCAATTACCCATGACAGTAGGTCACCCTTTTTATTACTGTTTCTGAAGTCACACTTGCAGACCAGTTAGATTAAGATGTTATTGCCACTTCTAGCAGAAATGCTAAGGAACCACAAAAGCTGTTTCACTGTACATAACTGAGAGCAAACCTGCCTCTGCTGCTGCTGTCAGCTGAAATGTAAAACACAGGGATAAATGAAATGAGTGAGCGAGAACAGTACAGTGTATTAGATTTCTGCAACTAGATTTATCACAGCTGCTCTATGGAGTCCTAAATTATGTCTCTACAAGGTATCTTTACACTGATGATATACCAGCTGTCATGTTAATTACTTTCTACTAGTGTATTTTTTAGTTAAACTATTGCCCAAACTGATGTAGTTACATTGGTATACCACTGTGTGTTCAGTAGATCAAATTTCCAAACACTTAAAATTGGTTCTTAATTCTGTGGAGAAGTCTTTGCTGAAGTTTGACTACGTGTTTTTGTCTTTAAGAAGAGCTGCAGCATAACTAGTTGTAAAAGTAGCTTGGCTTTACTTTTATCTGAAAGAACATGACCAATATGGAATTTTTACAGATAACACAGCACTGAAGTGTGCATGTATATGATTAAAATGTTTTTCTTCCCCCCTTTCAGCTTTCTGAAACAAAAGTCTTCACTGCTTCCTTTGTTCCAGCTGAGAAACATGTAACTCCTGGGAAAACGTAAGTTCTTCCTCCATGATTGCTCTATACCTTAAAAACCTTCTGCTTGCTAAAGCAATATTAGTTTGCACATATAAAATGTTGACTAAAGCAGAGGGCAGCCTTGGTCAGGGATTAGTAAAGCTAATTTGAAAATTCAAGGAATAGTTAGGGTTGGAAAGGACCTTAAATCATATAGTTCCAACCCCCCTGCCATGGGCAGGGACAGCTCCCACTAAACCATGTCACACAACACTCCCTCCAACCTGGCCTTCAACGCTGCCAAGGATGGAGCATTCACAGCTTTCTTGGGCAACCTCTTCCAGTGCCTCTCCACCCTCACAGTAAAGAACTTCTTCCTTATAGCTAGCTTAAACTTCTCCTGTTTAAGTTTGAACCCATTCCCCCTTGTCCTATCACTACAGTCCATAATGAAGATTCCCTCCCCAGCATCCTTGTAGGCCCCCTTCAGACACTGGAAGGCTGCTATGAGGTCTCCACGCACACTTCTCTTCTCCAGGCAGGATCGCCTCCTTTGACCTGCTGGTCGCATTTCTTTTAATGCAGCCCAGGATACGCTTGGCATTCTGGGCTGCAAGCACACACTGACAGTTTCTCATCAACCAACACCCCCAAGTCCTTCTCCTCAGGTCTTCTCTGAATCTCTTCTCCATCCAACCTGTAGCTGTGCCTGGGATTGCCCCCATGCAGATGTAGGACTTGGCTTGGTTGAACTTCATGAGGTTAGCATTGGCCCACCTCACAAGCATGTCGAGGTCCCTCTGGATGGCATCCCTTCCCCTCCAGCATATGAAGCGAACCACACAGCTTGGTGTTGTTGGCAAACTTGCTGAGGGCGGACTCAATCCCACTGTTCATGTTGCCAACAAAGATGTTGAGCAAGATCGGTCCCAACACCAACCCCTGAGGGACACCGCTCATTACTGCTATCCTAGACCTACTGGTCTTTCTAGTCGGGATGCAGCGCTCCTGAGCTTGTAAGTGTGGAAAAGAATGCTTGAGTTTAGTGATAGCATTAACACAAGCTGGATTTGATGCTCTCTTCAGGGGCTTGTTTCTGGCTGAACTTGTCTTAGAATCATAGAATGCTTAGGGTTGGAAAGGACCTTAAGATCATCTGGTTCCAAACCCCCTGACATGACCAGGTACACCTCATACTAATTCATCTCACCCAAGGCTCTGTCCAACCTGGCCTTGAACACTGCCAGGGATGGAGCATTCGCAACCTCCCTGGGCAACCCATTCCTGTGCCTCACCACCATTACAGGAAGAATTTCTTCCTTATATCCAATCTAAACCTCCCCTGTTTAAGTTTTAACCCGTTACCCCTTGTCCTATCACTACAGTCCCTAATGAAGACTCCCTCCCATTCCAGCATCCTTGTAGGCCCCCCTCAGATACTGGAAGGCTGCTATGAGGTCTCCACGCAGCCTTCTCTTCTCCAGGATAAACAGCCCCAACTTTCTCAGCCTGCCTTCATACAGGAGCTGCTCCAGTCCCCTGATCATCCTCATGGCCCTCCTCTGGACTTGTTCCAACAGACCCATGTCCTTTTTCTGTTGAGGACACCAGAACTGCACACAATACTCCAAGTGAGGTCTCACAAGAGCAGAATAAAGGGGCAGGATCACCTCCTCCGACCTGCTGATCACGCTCCTTTTGATGCAACCCAGGATACGGTTGGCTTTCTGGGCTGCGAGCGCACACTGCTGGCTCATGTTCATTTTCTCATCGACCAGCACCCCCAAGTCCTTCTCTGCAGGGCTGCTCGGAATCTCTTCTCTGCCCAGCCTGTAGTTGTGTCTGGGATTGCTCCGACGCAGGTGTAGGACCTTGCACTTGGCATGGTTAAACTTCATGAGGTTGGCATGAGCCCACCTCACAAGCGTGTCAAGGTCCCTCTGGATGGCATTCCTTCCCTCCAGCATATCAACCGAACCACACAGCTTGGTGTCATCGGCAAACTTGCTGAGGGAGCGCTCAATCCCACTGTCCATGTCAGCAACGAAGATGTTAAACAAGACCGGTCCCAACACTGATCCCTGAGGGACACCACTCCTAACTGGTCTCCAGCCGGACATTGAGCCATTGACCACAACTCTTTGTGTGCGGCCATCCAGCCAGTTCTTTATCCACTGAGTGGTTCATTCATCAAATTGATGTCTCTCCAATTTAGAGACAAGAATGTCGTGTGGGACAGTGTCGAACGCTTTACACAATTCCAGGTAGATGACATCAACTGCTTTACCGCTGTCCATCAGTTCTGTAGCCCCATCATAGAAGGCCACCAAATTGGTCAGGCAGGATTTCCCCTTGGTGAAGCCATGCTGGCTGTCACCAAGCACCTTGTTGTTTTTCATGTGCCTTAGCATGCCTTCCAGGAGAATCTGCTCCAAGATTTTGCCAGGCACAGAGGTGAGACTGACTGGTCTGTAATTCCCCGGGTCATCCATTTTCCCCTTCTTGAAAATGGGGGTTATATTTCCCTTTTTCCAGTCATTGGGAACTTCACCTGACTGCCATGATTTTTCAAATATGATGGCCAGCGGCTTAGCAACTTCATTCGCCAGCTCCTTCAGGACCCACGGATGGATTTCATCAGGACCCATGGACTTGTGCACGTTCAGATTTTTAAGATGGTCTCGAACCAATTCCTCTCCTACAGTGGGCCCAAGGTCTTCATTCTCACAGTCCCTGCGTCTGCCTTCCAAGACTTGGGTGGTGCGGTCAGAGCCTTTGCTAGAGAAGACCGAGGCAAAGAAGTCATTCAGAACCTCAGCCTTCTCCAAATCCTGTGTAGCTAGTTCACCCGAGAGCTTCCTGAGGGGGCCTACGTTCTCCCTAATCTGTTTTTTATTTGCTATGTACCTGTAGAATCCCTTCCTGTTATCCTTAATATCCCTAGCCAAGTTTAATTCTAACTGGGCCTTAGCTTTCCTAACCTGGTCTCTAGCTTCCCGGACAATAACCCTGTACTCTTCCCAGGCTGCCTGTCCTTGCTTCCACTTTCTATAAAGCTCTTTTTTCATTTGAATTTTCCTCAGGAGCTCCTTATCCATCCAAGGAGGTCTCCTGGCCCTCCTGCTGCACTTCCTTCTAGTTGGGATGCAACACTCCTGAGCTTGTAGCAGGTGATCCTTGAAGACCAACCAAGAGTCTTGAGCCCCCCTGCCCTCTAGGGCTATATCCCATGGAACCTTACTAAGCAGGTTCCTGAAGAGGCTGAAGTCTGCTTTTTTGAATTCTAGGGCAGTGAACTTGCTGCATGCTCTTCTCTGTGTCCTAAGGATCTCAAATTCAACCATCTCACCACCCTTTTAACCCTTTATTAACCTGGCTAATCCTCCTAGCTTTTTCTAGGTCCTCCCCTGTATCCTGGAGAATACACGAAAAGACTATCTGAGCTCCAGAGCCCTTAACCACCTCTCCCAGGGCTCTGTAGTCCTTTATGTTTCCCAGGCTACTGCTATCTATATCCCTAACACCCACATGTATCACCAGAAGTGGGTAATAGTCCATGGGGCTTACCAGAGCAGGCAGCCTCTCTGCCTCATCCCTGATCCATGCCCCTGGTAGGCAACACACCTCCCTTGAGACTGGGTCAGGCCGTCAGACGAGTGCTTTTGTCCCTTTCAAAGTAGGATCCCCTACCACTACAACTCACCGCTTTTTCCTGGCAGCACCAGTAGAAATCTTTACTAGTGCATCACCAGGCTCTTTCTGGTGCAAGCGCGTTTCCTCATGATCCCCCTGCAGGACAGCAAAGCGGTTCTGCATGGGGCCAACAGGTTCAGGAGGAATTCCCTTGCTTTTAGTTGTCCTTTTCTTCCTTTTTTTTTGGTTTGGTTTTTTTTTTGTCACCAATTCCCAGCTTCGAGAACTAACAACCTCCTTCTTTCCTCCATGAGCTACAGGGGAAGCTTGAGAACTCTGCACAGTTTGGGCAGGGAGCAAGCATTCCTGTTTTCTCTCAGCTACCCTGACATCTTGTAGCCTATTAATAGCTTCCCGCAGCTCAGACACCTGCTGCAGGAGAACCTCCACCAGGGAGCACCCAGTGCAGTCCTGCCCGTTGCGTACCTTTCACTCACCAGAGCAGTGCAGGCACTCTCTACACCCCGAAGTCTGCACTGCAACCTCCCCTCTCATCGGCTCTGTCTGTGTGCCTACAGTGGCCACCGCTGGGGCAGCCAGAGCAGAGCTCCCAGACCGGGCCCTGGTCATACGGTGAGTGCTCAGCATCCTGCACGCCTGCCCGCGTGAACTGCCGCATGAACTGCCTCGACCCACTCTGTTTGCCCCGCTCGTGGTCGCCGCGCTCCCTGGGGCAGGTTTTTAACCAATCAGGGCTGGTGCCGCTCTTCCTGGCTCCGCCCCCGGTGAGTCAGCTGCTCGCGTGAGCTGAGCTGCCGGCTCCTGGGCAGGTCCTGTCCAGGACTTGAGGCTCCCTCGGTAGCTCTTGTCGCTCTGAGTTGAGGCTCCTGGACGCTGATCTCTCCCACTCCGGTGTTCAAGGTGTCCTCTCTCGAGCTACTCACCTCAGCAATTCACTATCACTATAGTCCCTAATGAACAGTCCATCCCCAGCATCCCTATAGGCCCCCTTCAGATACTGGAAGACTGCTATGAGCTCTCCATGCACCCTTCTCCAGTCTGAACAGCCCAAACTTTCTCAGCTTGTCTTCATACAGGAGGCGCTCCATTCCCCTGATCATCCTCGTGGTCCTCCTCTGGACCTGTTCCAACAGTTCCATGTCATTTTTATGTGGAGGCCACCAGAACTGTACACAATACTCCAGGTGAGGTCTCAGGAGAACAGAGTAGAAGGGCAGGATCCGAGCCCCTGGTAGGCAGCACACCTCCCTTGAGAGTGGGTCAGGCTGACAGGTGGGTGCCTCTGTGCCTTTCAAAGTAGAATTGCCTATTACTATGACCCCCTGCTTTTTCCTGGAGGCTGTAGTAGTGATTCTCTTTACAGGTGAATCAGCAGGATCAGACTG